TTTTTTTTGATGTATTACATGTAATTTCAAGCCAAGGGCTTAATGTGTAAACGAGTTAGTACTCTTTTGTTGTAACCAAGTGTTAACTTGGAAAGCTGTAAGCCCGTAGGGCATTTTGTTATGATGTTAACATGTAATACTTATGTAATGGAACTCTAATGAATAAAAGAATGTGGTTAGTTTATATGTAAATGCATGTCTTATTTGATGGGTTTAATGTTGTTATTTTGAGGGCGTTACAACTACGTATCTCTAACGAAGATTCTTGGACGGCTCTAAGGCTATATATGCATGCATGGATCATTACTTGCTAAATTAACGATTGTCATGGTTTTTGCATCCCGGTGGTGCAATCTAAATCAGAACTATTAAGCATACTAGAAGCATTTCTAGCATGAAGCATATTAATGAAGAAACTAAAAGTTTCTACAATGCTCTTGATAGATTATGATATATTCAAGCAATGCGTTACTTTCTTAAATAAATAAATAATCAGAGAACCTAGCAATCGGGTTCAAAAGTCACAAGAACAAGATTACTCTGATTGATCACAAAGCAGAAAATTCTATGATTGCAGTTGATAGAACATTACAATGGCAAGTACTTAACAGGAATGTCATGTGGTGTCGGATGAAAAGTTCAAAAAATCATGTGAATCATATAGCACTGCTCTTACTTTTACTATAGTTTTACTTGGTGTTAGAATTTTATTTTTATTGGCTTAAAGGAAAACCTAATATATATATATATATATATATTAAACTGTTCATTATTTCATTGCTAATTTTTTTTTAAGCTCTCGTGCTTTTCAGTTTCTTCATTTCCTTTATCTAAATTTATGATTTTATTAAAATTCGAGGTAGCATTATTTGATACATTAGTGAAGCATATGCCTATGTAAAGTTAGTATTGGTTATGAACTTCGGGTATGTTTGAGTAATGCTTTTAAAAATAACTATTAGTTTTAGATAAGTTTATGCTTTTAACAAATCTAGCTGGCATGCTTCTCACCTCGCTGCCTAGCTAATACAGGCTTAGGTTCTTTTCATTTAATCTTTTCATGTTTGTGTGTACACAGTCCTATGCGTGCTCAACTATTCCCTTCTTAGAAATTCATCATTGGTTTATTTATATTCTGTATTAGTTTGTATATATAGATATATCTATATATATAACCTCTGGTACTCATATCAGGATGCTTTTGGTTTAGGGTTTAGGGCTGAGACAAGGTGATCCATTATCACTATTCCTGTTGAACATTGTAGCTGAGGGTCTCAATGTTCTATTGGAGAGAGCTTTGCAGAGAGGATTGATTAAAGGAGCAGTGGTAGGCTCTAATGAGGTTAGGATCATCCATCTCCGGTTGCAGATGGCACAATTTTATTTTGTGAGGCAGAATGGGAGGAGATTGTTCCTATCAAAAGGATTTATTATATGGGCTGAAGATTAATTATTATGAGAGTGGTACGTGGGGTTCGGATTGATGAGGAGCTCACTAAAGAGTTTGCTACCAAATTGAATTGTCTTCATCAGAGTCTGCCATTAAAATACTTGGGGCTGCCATTGGGAGCTAATCCAAGGAAAAGGAGGACATGGCAGCCAGTGATTGATAAATGCAAACAAAAGTTGGCTTCGTGGAAGAGGAGGTTCCTATCCTCTGCTGGTAGATTGACCTTGATAAAATCTGTGCTATCTTACCTATCCTTGTTTAAGATGCCAGAAGGGGTTGCAAAGGAAATAGACAAATTCAGTCTAGATTCCTATGGGGAGGTGATGAGCTTAGAAGAAAAATTCATCTGGTCAGCTGGGAGGTGATTTCACAAAGTAAAAGTCAAGGAAGCTTAGGAGTTAAGAGACTCAGACTTGTGAATGATTGTCTTCTTTTGAAGTGGTGGTGGAGGTTTGGGTCTAACTATGATGCTTTGTGGAAGCAGGTGATCTGCAGTAAATACAGTGAGGCTGGATGGGGATGGTGGCCACTACCAGTTGTAAATCTCAGGTCTTCTCAGATCTGGAAAGGTATAGACCTGAACTGGTTGATTTCTTCAAAAGCAACATAGGTCTAGTTATTGGGGATGGGAGGAGAACACAATTTTGGGTGGACAAATGGATTGGCTTTGTTTGTTTGAAAGAGGAATTTCCTAGACTTTTTTCTTTATCAATGGACAAAACTGAATCTGTGAATTTGGTGATGAGTAGGAGGAATGAGTTTGAGGAGGGAAATCTTAGGTTTAGAAGATCCCTATTTCAGTGGGATGTGGAGGAATTGAGGAAGCTGGATGAGATGTTACTCAATGCACCTGCTCTTAGGGAAGAGAGTAGTGATAGGTTGAGATGGGATGCAGATGCATCAGGGTTTTTCTCTGTTGCCACAGCATACAAGTGGTGTGAGTTATGTGGCTAATAGAAAAATAGCAGATTTCATTTGGAAGAATGTCACTCCACCCAAGGTTTAGTTTTTTGGTTGGTTAGCTTGGAAAGGTAGGATTAAGACAGCTAGCTATCTCCAAAGAATTGGAGTACTCAGTGAAGATATAGAAGTTAAGTGTACTTTTTGTAAGAAGGAGGTGGAGAGTGTCAACCATGTGCTACTGTTTTGCCCCTTTACTTGGAAGATTTGGTCCAGAATTATAAACTGGTGGGGTATACAGTGGCTAATGCCTGGGTCTGTGAGTAGCTTATTATGTTAGTGCACTGGTATTAAGCTCAAAAAACAGGAGATGATCTAGAGAGCACTCCCTCTGGTTGTGCAATGGTCGACTTGGAAGCAGAGAAATGATTGTATCTTCAACAGTTCACAGGTGGGTCTGGATGGTCTGTGTGAATTCATTAAGGTTAGGATTGCTTTGTGGGTTAAAACCTGCTGCCTATCCTTCAATTACTCAGTCAATGACTTGCTTCATAATCTTCAGCAAGTTAGACTTTGCACAAGGGGCGGGCCTTGAGTTTGTCTGGGTGGTTGCTTCTCCCCTGCATCAGTGGAGGCTGCTGCAGTTGCTGCGTGTGTTTTATTTCTTTGTGGTCATGCTAGAATATGATTAAGTGTATCCTCCCTGGTGCCAACCTAGTTGGGATTGGGGTAGTTTACTCTGATGCTTTTTGCACTTCCTCTTCTTTATTGATGTAAACTCATATGAAATGTATGCTTCTTCTTCGCTGATAAAAAAAAAGGGGATGCTTTTGGTTACGACGTGCCTTATTCATGTTTCTTGATTAAGTAACTAGCTATATATTTTTATTTTATTTTGAGTACTAGTAAAATAGGAATGAAACAACATATTTGCCAAGATGTGAGGACATACATGACCTCAAGCACAATTTAAGAACTCATTTTTATTGAAAGATTGTTGTTGACACCATAATAGGAAGATGATTGCATCATTGAATTTCATTTAGTCCGTCAGCACAAAAGATCATAGCAAAATTAATATAGAAATAGAGAAATATTTATCAAGCCTAAGAAAACCAAGCAGAAAGAAACAAAAACAAAAAACACATTGTGATAGAACATAACAGTTTACAATGATATATTCTACTCTCTAAGCACCAAAACCAAAAATTAAACATCACAGTATACTGAAGCCTTCAAAAAACTAAAAATTAAATAAATAGAAAATTACTTATTCAAAGAAATGGAAATCATTCTGTAAAGGTTGAGAAGCCCTTTGATTACACCGTATCAGACAACCTTATTCATCTACAACTCCTTTTATATACTCCGTTTTACCCCTTTTTTCACTGTAACCTCTTCAACTTAGGCGAATTTTTTTTTATATTTTTTATTATTGTTGAAAATTTGGTATTCCAAGTAAAAGCTTCAAAAACTTGGATAAATTCTTTCATAAAGTAGCATGGAGAAGCTATATATATATTATGCAACAGTTAATCAATCATTGTGTCCACTAAATTGAATTCAAACTCTCCTTTTATAAAACAACTTATAGATTAATATCAAAGAAAGCACACACACTCACACTTATATATATATATATATCTCAAACAGGTCTGAAAAATAAAAAATCTAAGTTCATACAAAACAAATGCATATATACATGTCCAAAATTAAAGTTAAGCTTACAGATTTGAGTTCGAGTTTAGCAGCACAGAATGAATCGATCAATTGATGAATGATTAGATCTAATAAAAACAAAAAATCAGAAGAGAGAAGCCAGATCTGAGTTAGAATGTACACAATCTATTAAATAAACAACAAATAAATAAATAAAAACTAAATGAATTGAAACTCACAAAACCAGAAGAGAGAACTACAAATCTGGAGAATCAACCTTCAAATAATTATTTTGTTCGATAATTATTTATAGTGCAACACTAATATTTAGATTATTTTATTCGACTTCTTTGATGTATCTAATGCTTATTTATTAATATTGGCAATGTTGAGAAATCAGACTCAACAATTCTAAAACGCATGTGCGGATCTGGGCCTTATAACAATTTTATATAACCTTTATGCTTATATTTTATTTTGTATTGTCATCAGGACTAAATTGATTGGAATTTAATACTTTAGGGACTTAATTGACAAAATAAAAACTTTAAGGACTTAAACTGTAGTTTATCTAGTAAAGTAATATCAACCTGGAAGTTTAGACGTGCAACTACCCATTTTTCAATCAATCAACCCACATTAAGATTAAAAGCAACTTCTTTGAGTCTCCTCTATAATTTATTCAATAATATTGACAATTACTCATGACATGGGTGCAATTGCACACAACACAAATTTCAAATTCACTTATAAATTATTACATGGCTAATAATAAAGTGTGTCCAGTTCACAAGGTTTTGCTAGCAGCATCACCAACCCAACAAACAAGAACACACACTACAAAGAGCAAATAGTAAGAGCTAATAGCTTATTCAAATTTAGACAATAGTCCGATAAAACGTAATCATAACAACTAAATAGTTTCCATAGATATATGAGACCACCCTATAACCTTGGTTGGCTTCTCCAACTTCTTGATCCTCATAGAATTTTGAGAAAATCATGACTCAAAAATCACCTATGAAGAAAAAAGCCAAATATAAATAGTTTATAGAGAAACTAGAGAGAAGAAAAATACTAAAAAAAGAACAAACAACATGGATGTCTCAACAACATATGCCGTTTCTTAGTTGGTTTAGTTAACAAACCTACAGATGCCAAAAAACACCAAAGCTAAATAGTTATTAGGTCAACCTCAAAAGAAGAAGAAAATTATTAGAAAAATCAGAAGGGATAAAAATGCTAAAACAGGAACAAAGTACAAACATATATATTCCGTCTATTTGTTTGTACTTTTATTTTAGCATAAATTTATTTCAAAATTTATCTCTTTCATTAAAAAGAAGCCTATATACAAACTACTATGTACTATGCTTTGTCTGTTTTGAAGGGGAAACAAAAATCTATGAGATTTTTTGAAAAATGTGTTCCATGGAACACATTGTCCTATATTTGGTTAGGACTCTAAAAATGATGATACTAATAGTCGTGGTAGCAGTGGTGTGAGTTGTGATAGTGGTCGGTGGTGGCTGTGGCAATGGTAGTGACAATGGTGGTTATAGGGTGGTTGGTGGTAGAGAGGTGATAATGGTATGGTGGGTCGTTAAGCACACCAAAAATAAAGACTAAACTGTACCTAAATTCTGTAGAATAATGGCAAGTTTAGGTATCGATTCACAGGAACTAATGTGAAATTCAACTAATTTTAATAGCAAGATTCCTAGATTAATTTAGACGAGAATGATGGATGAGAATTAAATTAAAGTGAGAATTAAAATAACAACTAGAAAATTAAATTAACAATAAAGATTAAGGTTGAGAATTCGATTTGGGGAAGATCCTAGGGCAAATAATCCACCACTAGTTGCATAAATAGGGTTTAACATCGGCATCTAATTGCAATATGGTTTGAACTACCCAATGTTTCGCAACTATAAGTTTAAAACATTTATCAAAAGGATTGTTGCGTTCAACGTATAGCCACGAATTATCTCAAGTAATATGAGTCGTTCACTCTAGACTACGGTATCAACATGACTTGTCTCTCCTAATATGACTTGCCTCGTACTTTGGGTACAACACATAGAAAACCATTGTATGAAAAACATTCAACAATCACTGAAAAGTAGAAGCCTAGCTTCTCATGGAGGAATGGAAAAATGATGAAGAAGAAGCCACCATGGAAGACCTCCAATCCTTCAACTCCAAAACCCTAGCCTCCATTGCCCTTTTTTAAGAGAATTTTCAAACCCGAGAATACCCTTCTTTTCCTTCTCTTATACTTTTCTAGCAAAACAGGTGACTTTAGAAAGGGGAAAAAAAATGTGCATGAGAATCGAGGTGCTCGTACATGTGGAAAATTTTGGCTGCACATGTGCGGCTCCACACATGTGGATTATGCAGTCCATTTTGATCTTCAGAAAGGGGGCCGCATGTGCAAGAATGACCCTTCGCACGTGTGGTGCATGCTTTTCAGCTAAAACGTACAAACACATCCAACCTGATTCACATCAACACTAGTAAAACGTACAAAGTTGCAACAAGAAGAGGATTAAGAAATCTCAATTATCGGCCTCAATGGTATACATTTCGGCCTCAATCACACCCCCCAACTTACAACTTGCTAGTCCTCGAGCGAGGAAAAAAAAGAAGAAGCAAAATTAGCTACATTTTCGTGGGAAGAATGATTGCGTTTTTTAAATGGATAATCCTTTGTGATATGTTTAAAGCTGAACATATTGGAATAGGAAGAAAAACATTATATGCAAGTTATGTCATTTATGATGTTGATTATCATAAATGGCATAACTCAATACCATGAGAGTCATAACTAAAAATAAATAAAATTGAGTTACAACCAAACATCACATGAGATACAACCAAACAACTCTTAGATCATAAGTAAAATAATATCATAATCAACATCACAATGTGTCATAACTAACAACACCATAAGTCATAACAAATGACACATAAATTGTAACTAAAAGTTCATATAGTACACACAACCATAAAATTTCTGTGCTTAGCATTCCTCAAAAATAAAGTTAATTGGTAAAAACAAGAAGAACTAACATTTTGTGCAATGACTTTTTTTTTTTTTTTGGATCAATGGGGTATATGTATGCATAAACCTTTCCTCTAAAGAGTTGATAATCTGCAATTGTTAATACCTGACAACGTTGTTAATTGTCATCGTCGTGAAAGTCATCTTCTTCGACAAAGTCGTCAAAGTCATCTTCTTCGACAAAATTGTCAACGTCAAGATTTTGATAAAAAAAGTCATTGTCGAGATACTTAAAGTCCAAGCCAACTCCATCCTCATTGCCTATGTAGTAATTAAAGAGAGAGTAATGTTAATGTTTGACAATGTTGTTGAAGTAAAAATCAATTTGTTTGTAAAATAATCAATCTAGCCACATCGTCTATACTGTAAACAGTTGCAGGTGGCATGAAGCATATCTGAAGAGAGAAATTCTATAAAATATCCCGTTCGAAAGAAAAAGGGTAAACTTCACTTTACCTCCTATAGTTTAGGTTATGTTCGGTTTGCCCCTCCAACGTTTAGAAATGACAACATAACCCCCTTGTGGTTTTGTGGACTAAAGTGCACCGTTAGACCCATTAACGATTTAATAAAAAAGATTAAAATACCCTTACATTTTCTTCATTTGTTTAGAAGGTAAAGTGCACTTTAATCCCCTGTGCTTTATTGCATGTGCGGTTTGTCCCCTTGAAATTTAAAAATGAGCATATAACCCCCTTATGTCTTCCATGTATTTCACACTTGGTGTTAAGTTGGACAAAATGTTTAACGGTGCACTTTAGTCTACAAACTATGTGGAGGTTATGTGGTTATTTCCAAATGTTAGAGGGTAAACCGCACATGACTCAAACTACAGGGGGTAAAGTGAAGTTTGTCCAAAACAAAATGTTTACTTATGAATTTTGTGGTTCTTAGTTATAATCAATAGTGATGTTTGTTATGATTTAGGTATGATTCATTGTAGTGTTGGTTATGATTTAATTATGACTTATTATAATTGTTATTTTGGTTATGATAGAAAAAAATTTAGTTATACCTCAAATGATATTTGATTTATGATTTATTGTGGTGTTAATTATGACATATTGTGGTTACTATTTCAATTATGACCAATGAGATCTTTAGTTATGTCTCAAAAGATTTTTGGTTATGACCAATTATTTTTCTTTTAATTATGACTAAAAGTGATTTAGTTATGATATTTGTAATATTAATACCACAATTATCATAATTTACATATAATACATACTCCAAAAATAGGTGTGCATTGTATGACCCATCTTAAGAATATATATACTATTAATTCTTAAATACAAAGTTCAGTGCTGCTAACATAATTTGTATCTCAAGTATGGGATAGCGTGTGTGCCATATGCACATTTTTATATATATTTTTTGGTATATATTATGACAGTTTGTGACAATTTTTACGTAATTTTTTGGTAGAATTACGAGAGCTTATTATTAAAAAATAAAGTTAAACATTACAAAAATATCCAATTTTGTTTTTGAATCACAAATTGTTGTAATTCTACCAAAAAATTACATAATATTTTCTATAAAAATATATTTTAAAAAATGCTTGCACCACCTCCATAAGGGATTTTCCTTCTTGCTGGACACCAATAAGTATATGAACTCCACTTAACTATGCCGAATTTACCTAGAATGAAAATGTGTAGTTGAGATTGAATTTGTGTAGTATATGATTCATATGTGGAACATATCTGAATCACAAAATGTTAAATGTATGTAGTTAAGTCTAAATTTGTAGTATTACCGTGTTGGATACACCATGGTCATTGGTGAGATAGCTATGTGGTTAGGTTTAGTACCTTATTTCACCCTTTTGACTGACTAGTATTTACCTTGTAAAAATATTTTTGGTTCTCAAATTTACTTTGGTAAATTTACTTTGGTCCCTACATCTTAATTCCAGTTTCAATTTGGTTCTCTCCTCCAAATTTTCGTTAATTTTTTCTATGTGTACATTTAAAAGACTAACAAGTGTTCCAAAATCGTTAATTTTAACTTCCAATTTAAATAGAAGAACCAAATTAAAACCTTTGAAAATTGACAAATGTCTCAAAATTGTTAATTTTAATCTCCAATTTAGACGGAAGGATCAAATTAAAGTTAGACTTAAAGTGTAGAGACCAAATTATTTAAATTAATATTTTAAGAAGTAAAGTAAAATTTGAATCAAATTAAAAAGTGAAAAATATAATTAACCTTTAAAAAAATGAGTTCAAACTTACCTCGACAAATATTAGAGAAACTCAAGTTAACTCGATAATATAAATGAGCTCGGCTAGAGCTCCAATTTACAAAAGTATTTTTAATTAATGTGCACATTAAGTGAAATAATAAAAGATTATAAGTAAAATAAAAATTAATATTTATATTATTAAAAACTAGCATGAAAACCTGTGCTATACATGGAAGATTTAAAAT